ACTAATAAAAGCTTCAACAAAGTTTTTTCATCACAACATTTTTGTTTATATGAAAAGGATCTTGCTTGCTGTTTGTCTTTTTTTTCTTACTTTCCACAAAATTATTCTAAAAAAATGATTCTACTGGACTTGTCAGGCAAGTGCCTAATAAGTCCAGTAAAATCATTTTTTTATATCTTAAAAGAAAAGAGAAATTTCGATAAATTTTCCAATTTTTCTGGTAAACAGAAAGAAAGAGAAGGGAAGAAAAAGAATTGGGAATGTTAATGTTAGCTATATTCAAATTTTTAATCAGTTTAAGAAGGGGTAAAAATGATTATAGTAAATAGATTTTTGGTAACTAAATGTGAATTTGCAAGTAAATGTTCAATCTTTACTCCATCGAGTTGAAATGATATGACATTATTGTTGGTTAGCAGAAAGTTTAATTCCTATATCTATCTATGTGGGAGGTTTAAATTTGAAGATAATGTAAATTTAGAAAATTTTCATTAATTTGCCAGATGTTGTTTGTCAAAATGCACTGTCAAAAGTTTATGCATCCCTCAACCTTTCATATGATATACTTATTTGTTTCTATTATTTTCTTCCTTAGAATTTCTTTGCTCTAATAGAATTAGCACACTTTTATAGATGTATCAGATCTAAGTCCATGCAACATAATTTCAATGTTTTTCATTTATTTTTTTCTTTATAATTGCTGAAGTTGATCTCAATTTGATAAATATTGTTAAAAAGATTGCTTCAACATTCACTTTTCATGTTTATGGATGTATAATGTATGAAATAGTTTTATATGTCTGCAATCAGATATCGTGTCAAGTCCAGCAGTGCCCGGTAGTCCCATCCGGAATATTACTTTTGCTACTGTTATGCAAGGCCTAGGAATCGATAAGATATTTTCATCGTATATTCGTAATATCTTGTCATAGTTGTTCTTTGGAACTGTTTGAAGAAAAAAAAATGTTTGTTACAATTACATCAAAATATTTGTTTGCCGAGTTCTTGGCATCATAGTAAAATAGTAATGCTGTTGTAGTTGTCCTTTCTATCTTTATTTTTGTTTTACTATCCGAGACTAATAAATTCCTATGAAGACTTTACTTCAATTAAATTTTGCTTCACATAATAAATCATTGTTTGCTTTAATTTTTGTTGGCTAAGCATGTATATTTTCGAACTTTTCATTCTTCTTCCCATTAATCATTCAAAAAACATGCCAAACTTTTCCAAAAAAAAAAACTGAAATTTCCAAATGATATGTGAACATTTTAAAACTGAGGATATTAATCTGTAAAGAGCTCTTTTTTTCTGTCGAATTGGATCCGAATGCGTTAATCGGTTTAAATGGATCTCTTTCGAGCAATGATTAGTGAAATGGAGTCAGAGATCCTTCGTGACAGTGTTGAATGTGTGAAAAGGAGAACTCATTGACCTCTTCTTTATGTCCTCTTCCTCCCCTATATGACGATATGAGTGGATCGAGTAAAATTCAAGCGATTCATTATTCTAGTTTCATAAATTCTGAATCTATTCATCCTATAATTTCAAATTTTATTCGTCCTGAGATCCTGAATGATCGCTAAGTGGACAAGATCTCGACACAATCATCAATGGAAATCTAAAGCATCACATGAACATTTTTCAAAATGTCGAAAGTATTTAATATTGATAAATAACTTTGTCAATTAATTATTTTCGTTTTTAAAAAATTTCATGGTATTTGAAGATGGTGGTCAGGGAATTCGAACAGAATGTTGAAGTGAAGTGAGAAGAGAAGGGACAGGAAGATGACAAATGATGAATGTGCAAAGGAGGATGAGAGGAGGAGAGAATATTGTATGTGAGCATAAAATTCAACTAAACTGGCCGGACAAACGTTTAAATGCTTGCGATTAAATGGAATATCGAAAGATTAAGCATTCCATAGGTGGGCGGATGACAGATCAGAGGAGAGACGGGGGAGAGAATGAAATTAATGGATATCCGATAGGGGATAGTGGGTGGCATAGAGCGGACAGTAATTAAATTCAATTCCTAAACTGAACTAAACTGATACTGTTCGCAGGAAATGATGATATTTCATCAGCCACTAACTGTTTGCTTTTTCCTGTACCGCTTTTACTCCTCCTTACGCCTATGTGAGTAGCAATTTCTTTCATATGTCTGAAACTTAAATGATTATAAAGAAGCGGGAATTCAATGAATCTGAAATTTTAATTATTTAAAGGAAAATAATTTTAATCATAGTAAATTCACTTATGATAACAGTGAGAATGATTGTAATAGTGTGGGTGATAACAATATAGCAATGATAACAATGATTAGAGTGATGATAATTCTAGTAAGAATTATGATTTCATTACGATTATCATATGGTAAGAGTGCATTTGCTTATTTTTGTTATAGAATTTCATATTGTCAGTCTTAATTTTACAGCCTTAAAAATTATTTTGCTTCATTTTAGCTATTAAATTACTAAAATTTCTCCGCAGTAAAATTACTTTGGTAAGTAAAATGAGGCTGAAAGTTTCCTGAATTCTTAAATAGTTAACGAATCAATGACAGTGATAATTGCACCGATAATTCCTGAAAGTATTCAGAAATTAAATTTTCCATTTTCATTCTAAGTCTCGAAAATTCCATTTATTCATTACTTTAAAGACACGTAACAGCATATAACTTATGGTCAGCTAAGTTGACAATATCTTATTTTGCGTTGATATTTTATAATGATGAACAAAGAAAAAAATTCCGCAACATTTTTATGGAAAGAATTTTATAAAATAGTTTTTACTCAAGAATTTTTCTGAGAAAATTTTTATTTTTCATGAAAAAAATTTCTGAAAAAAAAATTTTTCATGAAAATATTTTTTATTTTTTTTTTCATGAAAACTAGCCCAAAAAACACTTCATCTGATAAAAAAAATGATTGTAACATTTAGGTAATGGATGCTTCCCATCACTCTATTATGAAACTTATTCACATTATCCGATGGCTCTGTCAGGTATTTACAATAATTTGTAAATCATTAAATACTAAAATACTTTTATAGCTGCATTACTTAATATTTCTGCCGTATAAATTCTCAAAATCAACTAAAACATACATTTTTGGAAGTTACTCGTAATTCTTTCACTTCAATTTTTGTTGTCACAGATGCCAGCAAATCCAAAATATTAAAATTGAAATTTGCAATTTAAGCGAGTCATGCACGATCTTATGCTGATGCAACTGATTTCAATACTGTAAGTGATGAGCACCCATCGCTGCTTGCTGCATCATCGAATACCAAAGAAAATTTGGATGTCATACAGAAAGCTTCGGATTTGAATTGTCATGGATTTGATAGTGATTGTCGATGGTCGAATACGAATGAAGACGAACTGGACTGGAAAGTTCTACTGTCCACACCTGAGGCTGAGCCATGGCTCAGTGTGCTTCACACAACTCATCTTCCAGGTCAAACGATTATATTATTTCAATTTCTTGTTACAGTCCTATGCTTCACATAATTTCAAACTAATTGAAAATGGCTACTAATCAGTATAGTTTTAACGATTTTGTGATCGTGCATGTTGAACAGTCATCAAAACTACCACTATCAATTGACATCTATTTTCATACCACTTCATTTCATTAATCCGCTAATTAAACTTCTAATAGATCGAAATATCTAGCAAAATACGATGCATTATTCAATTGCTAGGAAATTTTGGAATTCTTTTTTTAAATCTATAGATATGAAATTTGTGGATAAAAGATGTTTAACAAGTCATTTCATTTTTTATACAACGAATCATTTCAGCAATTTTTAGATGCATCAGCAGCAGTACTTCTATCCAGTAGTAATCGCAGTGCATGGGATGCCGGACAACTTGTTTCCGATTTGTTGCCGTGTATTATATCACCATTGCAACTCACTGCTAAAGTTTGGCGATCCTCTTTAGATGGATCATTTCAACAACAACCAAACTTGCAGATTTGTAGCCGTAACATACATGCCGACCAATTCTATTCAAACTGCAACCTGTTTCCCATACAAAATGGTATACCAGTTACTGTGGATATACCCGGACCACGTGATCCTACTGCACCTGCCCAGGTGTCATTTAAATTTTATAATTCGAAATAATCAAGAAGCATACCGATAGCGAAAAGAAAAGCTAAAATTCAATCCACAACGAAATCATAGCACTAAATTTCAATCACATCGGAAATCTGCTTTATTGTTTGAAGAACGGTTATCATTGCATGGGAAAATATCTGAGAATTTTTTAAAAAGGAAATTCGGTCCGTTATTAAGAATTATACTACATTATGATGATGTAATTTCTCAACTACAAATGAAAAGTTTTGCAGCTAGAGCAATAAAAATAAGTTGAACTTTTCATTAAACTGTTATCTTTCAGATTGTTTTGTTGGGTGATAATTTTGTTGGTAAACAAGGTGGTGTTATATTTATGCAGGATATCATTGTGGACGGTGATTTGGTACCAGATTGCACTATAACAACACCATTTACTACCGAACATTCCAGTAAACCGACTAGACGCCTAATTCCTTTGCATAACTTCCACGATTCCACCAACAACCTTATTGAAATTCAAGAATTAGATACCAAGCACAAAATATCAAATCTGCGCCAACCATCTGCATTGCAATTTGCATCACCGGATTCTCTAGTGGTTCAGTGCCTAAAATTGTCCTGCAATCCTGCTGGTAAAGCATTGTTCGACTGTTTCCATATTTACTCATTAAAAAAATAAAATACAAATCTTGACCAATACTTTGCTTATTGATCAGAATTTACAAAGTGCGTGTAAAAAAAGGATGTCCAAATTTCGTCACAAGCATAACCTTACGTGTTTACGTTGCATGAAGTCGAAATATTTCGTACGTGATATGCGCAACGCTCTTATCACCATTAATGAAGAGTAATAAAATAATGTATTGAATTAGCATCCTTTTGGCTTATTATATAACATAACTGCTTGTTGCCAGAGACACAGGCGAGAATATTTGCAGTAGCTTTTCGTACGATTATCTTTCTAATATTCTTGATCATATATAGCTAATAATCGGTTTGTTGTCGGGCTTTAAGCATAGCAATTTTGAAGATATAATAAATCTGCAGAGAAAGACTGTGGCTGGCAAAAAGGCATTGCTGGATGGATGGCATCAACGGGAACTGGTGGCTTTTCAAATCCATTGACCGGCATTGTTGTACCGCCTGTTGGAACGAACTCATTTCTGGTAGCATCTTATAACGGTGATTCCAAAAATTCTATCCGTTGGATTATCAGTCCACTAATAAGCATTTCAACCTCGGAACAACCTGTATATTTCTGCTTTTATGAATATTTCGCTCTTGAGGGAGCACGCTTTACAATGTGTATCAATGGATTTAACAAAGGATGCTTTTATTCAAAAACTGATATCTCTAAGGATGGTCGTTTACAGGTAATAACTAAATATCAATCAACTTTGCTTCTTTACTGTTTACTTATTTACTCAAAAGTGGTTGTGAAGTAGATATTATGTTGATAAATTATTAATCCGATCATTTAGCCTGAAATGTGCTGCAGTTAGAGCTTAATGGTACATTAGATAGGAGAC